TATGTTGCCTGGAGGCCATTGTCTCCAGGAGGCAATAGCACTCCAAGCATTGGCAGTTTCAGGCAAGCATATCATTGCCTACGTGATACACTGCTGAAGCTATGACCTTCACAAAGAGGCATGTGACAGACTTCTATAAACTTAGCTATGTAGCAGAAGAGTGAGTTCGATGTGCAAGACAGCTAGGGAATCTGTAAGCAATGGGAGTACAGGTAGGCAAAATGTGGAAATCAGTAACATAAAGACAGGTGTAACTGATATAGTGTGTCTTTACCTATATATTAAATGAAATTGCATCAAGTCCTCTTTTTTTAGCACAGTAAAAGCAAAAAATTGCCTTGCTTACTCTGTCCCACTCCAATTTCCTGAACAGAAGCTCTGAGACATTGTGCAGAGTTCTCCTCGCACAGTGCCACCAGACAGGTTAATACCCTCCAAATATGGTGGAAATCCCATCTCTTCAGGCAGTTTCTTGTGTCCAGACTCATTTTAAAAGTTCTATATGAAGCCTCTGCTGTCGCTGAAATCAAAGGCAGCTGCTGGTATGTCACTGTGAGCAGAAGACCCTTCCACACAGAAATCCACACCTACCATTCCGGTCATGATTTTTTCCTTGTTTAATGAAAACAAGTAACATAAGCAACTATATTCTGTATTTCCTTTGGAAAAATTAATTGTTTTGCTATCACACATGAAAGTGAGAACTCTACAAAAAAAATGGCATCACTGGGAAAACTTGAGGTGCTTGACCTGACAGCACTGGAAAACACCTATGGGGATTCCTAGGTTATTGAAAGAGTGGGGATTGCAATTGTAGATGCTTTAGTACCAGAGTGGTTATGAGCTGGAGAGAGCTGGAGAGGTTGTTGTCTGAAGGGCAGGCTAAGAGCAAGAAGGGGGGTGGTGGGCTCAGCTTGGGAAAATAAGGGCTGAAACAGTTAGTGGGAACCATGTAGTTCTAAGCATTTGCAGACGTTTGCGCATGTAAGTATGCCAGGGAGATAGAGACAGGAGTAGTTAAATGCACTGTAAGAGCTGTAGGTCTAATAGGAAGTTGAGCTAAGGAAGATGAAGTTCTGATACTAACCTCAGGAGTTCCGGGAAATCTAAGGGAAAAAAAATCAATTTGGCAAAGTCTTGGAGAAATCATTGTTATGCTAATTTTCTCTGTCCTTTTGCTCACTATGAAGAATGTGAGCAATTCACCTGCTTCATTCTGTCAAAGAAAAATGTCACTCATTCTAGTATATCTTCTCCATTTTTCATTATGACTCCATTTATAGATGCTTAATGATTATGACTTTCCTTAGGCCATGAGGACTGTTGGCAAAGATGAGAGATTTCAGTTGGATCTGATTTAGATTTAAATGAGCTCAAGTACTGGGTTCAGGGGTTATTATAGACTTTCCATTCAGGTTCAAGTCTGAGGTCTCTGAAAAATAAGGAGAATTTTGCAAAAATCAGGCATTCTTGACTGCGGCTGAAGTTTTGGCCTTGGATTGTAATCAGAGGAAAAACATGCAGAGGTTAGTCTAGACTCGAATCAAACTTCTACCAAATTCAGAGGTAGGTGTATTTCAGGTTTATATTCTGTCCCCTTTATAAGTGATCTTACTTTGTTCTTTGTTCTAGCATCAAGCTCATTTCTCTGTTGCAAGTGCTGCACATGGTGCTATGCATTGGCAATGTTAAGCTGTGTGTTGGTGCTATCAGGTTGCACTGACTCTTAGGGAGCAACTCTCTTGCATTGCACTCTGCTGGAGGGTAGCCGCAGACCTGCTCACCCTCCCTGGAGAATCTCGCAGATGTCCTTTGGACAGCAGTCAGACTTGACCTTGCACACAGCCGCTCCTTGGCTATCTCTGAACTTGCAGTGAGTGGTGGGAGAACGGAAAAGAACCAAGCTGATTAGGCCCTGGGCAATCTCCTCCTGCCCATCTGCTGTTAAGATTTACTCCTGCAAAGTGTCACTGACATGAGTATTTCACTGGACTTACTAGGGGAAGAGCGCAGGGCAGATTTAGGCTTGGGACAACACTAAGCTTCCCTGAGCCTTGCTGAAATAGCATCTTTATGTGTCTTCTGACACCACCATTGCCACCCATGGCAAGTCCTTTCACTGTTCTTGCTTTCTCAACCCTGCTGACCTCCTTTACGTTGACAGCTGTTCAAGTAGCAAAAGCGAAAGCTTGCGGGAAATCTTCAGGCTTGTTTTAACTTTATCATATTTGAACTGGACCATTTGGATCTTTGCTTCTCATTTTTAGGTATGCTTTTAAAAAGGAGGTTTCATTGAAGAGGTTACCAAAATCTGAAACCTGGCTCCAGATAAATAGGACAAAGGTAAAATCTGTGTTATTAAACTTATAAAAAAAGTGCCATGAGAACTGGTTCGTTTCTCTACTAGGAACAACCATTAAAAAAGTAATACTTAGATACTTAACATAGGTAGTTGTCTCCTCTTCCTCTCTTACTCCTGCAGTGCTTGATCCTTTTATCTCCCTTCATTTCCTCTGCTGAGCTTCCTTTTCTCCACGAGAGGATTCAGAAGGTAAATCAATTTAGTTTCTCTCTCTTCTCTCAAATAATTTTTCAAGACTCAAACCTTATTTTCAAGGAAGTCAGTATCTTCAGTTCTCACAGGTCAAGACTGTGGCTGGGAGTTCCTCTCTTAAGTATCAGAAACCCTGTGAACCCATCATCTATGCAGGAAGCAGGACAGTTCTGTGGATGAACCTACATTTTGCAACAGAGGGCTCTGGGCTAATGGTGGCCCAAGTCAGAAAGCCCACAGGATGCAGCACAGCCCTTTGCAGAGCTGGCAGCTCCATTTTTGAAGTAGCACAGCCATGCTTGCCTGCTGTTACCCCTCCGCTCATGAGCTCTGCCTGTGTAACACAAGTGTGAAGCTTGCCCACACAGGGGGAAGAGCTTTCTCACGTGCTATTTTGACACTGTGGATAAGATTCACCCTTTTCCAGGTATTAAAGATGTTGCACATTATCATTACTCTGCAACTACCAGCAGCGTATCTTCAGCCTGCCTTGTCTGTTGCAAAAAAGCACACTAAATTTAAATTACGCTCCCTCCTCAGCACCACCCTGACCAGATTCTATCAAAAAACCAGTACCTGTGGGGCAAGCACTATCGTCCTGTCTGAGCAGAGAGGGACAGAGGACGCACCACTCACAGGAAAAGCAAATAATGCTGGGCAGGTGCTCAGAAGCTGTGATGATGCAGCAAGCGAGCAGCACCAGGGACTTGTCCTGCTGTCACTTTGTCTCAGGACACTGTTATGCTGAGATGTGCACTAGATGGGGCATGGGACAAATTATTTGACCTGTCAATAGTTGGATCTTCCCATGTTGAAAGTTTCTGACACAAGGCTTACTGTAACAAGCCCCTTTGCTGTGTATATACAGTACATCTTTTTTGCAGCTCTTCACAAAGCTGATCCTTCTGTGCAAGAGAGGGATGCAACCATAGCTGTCACTTTAAGACTCTGGCATTTATGTCCATAGGTTTGAAGGATTTCTTTTGTCTGTCACTGATCTTAAACTAATTCACAAACCACTTAGAAACAAGGAAGCTAAAATGGCATATAGACTTTGAGGGATGCTTGGACTGGGATACAGAGAAGATGTGCTATTCAGAAATATAAGACATTCCTTATTAGGCTCCATTCCCCCCTGTTCCATCGATCTAGAAGGATTCAGTGGAACTGAAGGTGTGTGTACAGTGATTTAGCTGCTGCGGAAGAGGCGGCCAGCTGCCTTTGCCTTGGGGCAATGCTTCTAATGAGGAGCGGTAGCTTCCCTTCCCCTGCACAGAAGAGGGGACTACCCTGCAGGCACTCCTGCGGGACAGTGAATAACATAGAGATTTCTATGTCTGGGGCATTATTTCCTGCCCTTGCCTTTGAAAGTGTGGAAGCTCTTCTGTATTCAGGATTTTGGGAAGGGGGGCATGCAGCATACCTAGCAGTGCACACATATTTGAGAGCTGTTGGTATACTCACTTTAACCAATAGGCTCAGAAAAGCTGTCCAGGTTGGAGGTGGGTACAGAGTTGGGCCCTGGTGGTTTCAGAACCCGCCTTGCAGGAATCAAAAAGAGAGTGGGGCAACAGTGCTAAAGCCTGCCTTCCCTCTTTGTGAATCTTTGTTTGGGGACGTGCCTTGTGGCAGAAATCACTAGGTGGTGCTGTTACACATAATTCGCGCTCCTTTTCTTGGCAGCTGCACGGCTTCAGTCTCTGCAAGACATGGTTGCTGGGTTTATGAGAGCCCTTTGAAAGATGCTGAAATAGAGGCAGGTACCAGGCAACAGCAGCTACCTGGAAGTGAGTGCAGCTTCTTTGGACCCTAGTATCCGTGCTTAGGCTAATAATTCTGGAGGAGGAGATTGACTGCAAACAGGGAGTGCCCACCCCTTTTCTTAGAGAAATGTATGTGCTCAAATCCAGCATTTGTGACTCCTTTCTCATTGCAAATTCAGCTTTGAGGGCCCTGGATTTTTTTTCCTGAGGACTGACACCCGTGTAGCCAAGGTACAACACTCTGCTAGTTTGCAGATAGAAATTAGGATGAATTTCACAGAAATGGAAATCTCAGTGACAGGAATTGCCTTCTAGGGTCATAAGTGGATAAGTAAAATAATGTTAGAAGACATTAGGAATTTCCTGGATGTAACTTCTTTAGAGGAAGGAACTGGCCCAGGTTACAACTTATTTCCTTTTTTTTTTTTTTTTCCCCTGTTTGGAAGCATTGAAACATTGTAGAAGCCAACTTTATTTTATATTGGTTTGGAGTTTTTATTTTTGGTATTATTTAAAAATGAGTATGACTCTACTGTTCCCATTTATTAAAAGTCAGTGTAGTTTAAATGGAAACACTAACATATATGTGAATATGTTGTATATACTTAGGTAAATCCTATATATTGTATGAACATATATACACGTACAAGTCATCATTTTATTCTCACACAAACAAGAACTCTAGGAGATTATTTGTAACCATGCAATAAAATTAATTATTAACAGAAGGCAGTGACCGTTATATCCTTCTCTCAGGTACTAATCTCTAGCAAGTCTTCTGACTTTTTTATGCCCTTTCTTCCCCCCCTGCCCCCGGCTTTCTATTGCTTATCTGTTTTAGGTCTTTATCTTTCAGAGGTTTATTACTTACTGCATAAGTAACCATGTATTTCAATATTTTCAGAGTAAGGACCTAGCCCTTGCCTACCAGAGGAAATTATACTGAATTAACTACACTGATTTAGAAACTGATTTAGTTAAATCAGTGCAACTCTCCTGAGCACTTTATATCATTTCAGTTTAAGTCATGAGCCACAGAGTAACAAATCAATTCTCTTGGCAGAGAGTGAGAAAGATTAGACTGGATCTTCAGCCCTTTTATCTCAGTATTTATTAGGCTAAAGCCTCTTCAGGGCTTGTTGCTGTTCTCTTCAATTTTCTCTGCCTAATGGACCTGATCCAGCTCTTGATGGCATAAATGAGGGTTTTTCCATGACCTCCAGCTGGGAGCTGGAGATGGCAATATCTTTATTAAAAACCTAGAGAAGCTTAGAATGACAAATAACTCAAACCTGCCTCTTCACTGCATGTTGAGTTCCCAGACTGAGGCTCACAATACTGGAGAGATCATCTCTGCTCTGAAAAATGTGATATTATTTTACATGATAAAGGCAAGATAAAGGGCAAGAAAATACAACCCCTAAGTACAGCAATCTCCACCAACATTACGCAAGAAGTATCACCATGGAATGAAACACAGTCTGATTGATCTTCCTAACAACAGCAGATAAGTAAGATCTCACATAAATATGGAGTTGGGATGAAATTACCTTTTATCACTCCCCAGAGATTTTGTGGGGTGAGGCTGAATAAACTCAAGACTCAGGCTATTCCTGGTTTTGTAACTGCCTAAGCAGAACCTAGACTGATGTTGCCATGCTAAATCGAAACACATTGCTATTTTTGTTCTGCTTCTCCACCTTCCTTCACACCTCTCCAAACTACCAGTAATAAATAAAAAGGGTATCTGGGAATATGCTAAACAAGAATATTCTGACTTCCATTGATTGTAAATTTTGCTTACTGTGCCCAAAACTTCTTGTTCTTGGCTCTGAAGAGCAGCAGGGCAGAAGCAGATGAACTCTGAAGTGTTCGACTATTCCAGAGAAGAGAAACTGACTTGTTTACAAACCTAAGCTTTGGTTTAGTGCAAAGTCAGTTTTCTCCTTCTGAACTGAATGTTAATAAAGCTGTGAACTCCATAACCAACAACATCTTAGCATTCTCTAACAATTCACCTACAGTTCCTGAATGTCTTTATATTGTTAGCAGTGACGCCCCCTGCCATTTCCATTTGTATTCCAAATGTGATTTCTTGTTTATTTTACAGGTTTACGATGGAACTTACGTCCTTGCCTAAATTCCTTTGGACAAGTGACAACAAACTCCTGCATCACCATTTTCCAGATATTTTGGCTACTGTTCATACCACCCAAGACATTCCCAAAGAAGTTATTTTTGGACCGTGCATGCTCCAGAACACCCTACTGGACACTGTAGCTTTTATTGCTCTCAAATGCTCTGATAGAAGGAACATCCATTATGTATTTAAGGTAGGAGAAAGCAGCTTTTAATGTCAAACATTTTAGAAAGAGCTATGTCCTCCCTCAGCAGGTAACATTGTCAAGGGGTAGATTTTTGTTTTGTTCAGCACAACTAACAGCTCCTTCAAATGAGAAAAGTAGCCCAGTACCTTTCTGATTTATGAGCTGTAGATTGGAGGGACCTCAGTGAGAGCTGTTTCCTTTCCAGGAAGAATGCAAAGTCTTACTTCTATGCTGATGACTGATGATCTGCTTCAGCACTGACCAGGAATAGGAGGAAAGAGGAACAAATAGTTTAGGATCTTCATGCTCCTGTTTCCTCCTTACAACCAAAGGACAAAGAAGGCTTACAGTGAGGTGTGACAGCCCTGGGAGAACAAAGAGGGAAGTGTGGCGTTGCACTGTTTCAAGCAAGTATTGCATTTGCAGCATTTGTAGACAGATCTGAGCAAGCTGTAATACAATTTGCTCAGTTATCTGTAAGAGTGAAATTGCGGCAACAGGGATTTCAGCACAGGTTGTATGAACTGTGTAAGATATCAGCAAGCTAACAGTTAGCAACTAGTCCACACAATCTTCAGGCAGCCACAACTTATTGCTATTAGTACATGAATTTGCTGAAGTTACCTCAGATATGTCTGCCTGTGTGCAGGTGCTCTTTTCAATTGCTGTGGACAAAGCCATAG